ATAGATAGATAGATAGATAGATAGATAGATAGATAGATAGATAGATAATTTTTTGAAGTAAAAGAATATAGTCATCAAAGGTTGGAAAGATGGCTCAGTGGTTAATAGTTTGCTGTTCTTCCAAAGGATCCGAGTTCAGTTCCCTGTACCCACACTAGGCAGTTCACAGGCAGCTCAACAGGTGGGTCTCTGTGAGTTCAAGGTCATCCTGGTCTACAGAGCGAGTTCCAGGACAGCCAAGGCTACACAGAGAAACCCTATCTCAAAAAACAAACAAACAAACAGACAAACAGACAAACAAACAGAAGAAGGAAGGAGGGAGAGAAGGAAGGAAGGAAGGAGAAAAATCTCTTAGCATAATGCTCTTGTGATTTTTATCATATTTTAGGATTATAAATTGAGTGTTAGGTACAGATACTAAACTGAGATCTGGGATGATACAGTAACTTGATTTGGAGAACCTCCAGGGAAACATATTTTGGTAGGGGTTGGGGTAGGCTAGAAGCATCCTCAGAGGCAGGCTTGTTAGGTGAAGTATAAGACTTCAGCAGTGCCTGGGGAGTAGTGTGGATCACCAGCAAGAACCTTGATCCTACTTTCTTAGATGTACGCCTGTCTGCCAGGGTTTTGTATGGATGCAAAAGATGAGGTGAGCGGTCACTTTCCTCCTAAACAGAGGGATGAAAAGAAAAACTGGGAAATGATTTATTCTTGCCAATTCTTTGGAGTATCACGTGATTTTTTGGTAAGCTAATAATAATAATAATAATAATAATAATAATAAGGACTTTACCTTTTTTGCACTCACACACAAAGAACAAACACACTAAAACCTTTTAATACTAGAAATGACCATTGTCTAGAGGCTGAAAAGATTTGAAACCTTGTTCTTCTGGCTCTCCAGGGAGAGGATTGCCATATCCTCTCCAGACCTGCTGGGTCAAATGGTTTAAAAGGTTGAATTTGTCCTTGTTTGAATGGAGAGACTGTAGTGTTCCCCTTGGAGCCAAATGCAGAGGCATTCAGGGAGCATAGCATCATGGCTCTGCTGAGACCAATAAAACCACCATTTCCATTTCCAAAGGCTCATAAAGACTGAATTATTTCTCAGACCTCTGGCCCCAGAGCAGGTCTGAAAACATTGAAGGTATTTTGCCAGTGTGTTGCTGTGTGAAATCTGCCCTGCGTTTCTCTCTCTTCCTTTCCCCTTTCCCTCTACTCCCACTGCACCCATAATCCTTGCATTTGTGTAACTAGGTCCCTACTTACTCTCCTGGCTCTTTCTAGTGTAAGCACCCTATATTCTAGCCTATTCTATAGCTGAATACTATCATCTTCAAGAACTGATCAAGGTTTTACTGTATCTATTTATCCCCTGCTCCTCATCTACCTTTAATTTTGATAAATACAATAGCTCTTTTTTTTAAAAAAAGATTTATTTATTTATTTATTTATTTATTTAATGTATATTAGTGCTCTATATCATGTATATCATGTATATCAGCATGTACACCTGCAGGCCAGAAGAGGGCATCAGATCCTATTACAGATCGATGTAAGCCACCATATGTGGTTACTGGGAATTGAACTCAGGACCTCTAGAAGAGCAGATGGTGCTCTTAATTTCTGAGCCATCTCTCTAGACCCTAATACAATAGGTTTTTAACAGGAGGTATTCCAAAGACAAATGTGTGGAACATGTTTATAATCCATGCAACCAGGAAGCAGAGGCGGGAAGATTACAAGTTGAAGACCAGTCCCCACTACGTGTCAAGTATGAGTCTGGTGTAGACTTTGCGAGTGGGCAGAAAATTGGCACGAGCTCTCATAGATAGTCTCAAATTATTATCGTCTATTGTAGGTCTTCGAGTGGATTGGCAAGAAAATGATTTTTCGAAACGCATCTTAAATGTTCCACAGGATTTGTATGAGAAAGGCTATGTGAAGGATGTGGATGACGGACTGAAGGTAAGCTATTGACTCCAGGGCAGTTGGTTCTAGTTACAAATATAGGGATTCCAAGTCAGATTCATGACATGCTATCAGGAGAATTGTAAGGCCACGATAAGTATTTCTTAAGTATGGAGCGAAGAAGTGATTTTATTTTATTTTTAAAGATTTATTTATTTATTTTATTTATGAGTACACTGTCGCTGTCTTTGGACACACCAGAATAGGGCATCCAATCTCATTACAAATGGTTGTGAGCCACCATGTGGTTGCTGGGATTTGAACTCAGGACCTCTGGAAGAGCAGTCAGTGCTCTTAACCACTGAGCCATCTCTTCATCCTGAAGAAGTGATTTTAAACTTTATTTTTGAAGAGGACTGGTGATCTGCACAGCAGTTCTTGGGTGGTTAATTGGGTTTAAGGAGGTACTGATTCTTCCTTTCCACCAGCTATTTTTTTTTTTTCTTCAGAGCTGAGGACTGAACCCAGGACCTTGCGCTTGCTAGGCAAGCGCCCCACCACTGAGCTAAATCCCCAACCCCTCCACCAGCTGTTAGTATGTGAGAGATGCCCAACACCGTCCGTTTCCCCTTGTAAATCCCCCTGAGAAGCGAGGCAGGTAGATGTCAGAATGTCAGCTTTAATGTTATAGAGATATTTGCAAAAAAATGGCTTATGTGTACAGCAACAATGAAATTTATAGGATGAATGGAGGGTTAGCTAACAAGGCTCCTTCCTCACATCTAGTAACTGGAAGTGCTGAATAACCAGACTTCCCTCCATAGAGAGAGCTCAAAGAGCATGTGTTCTGTGTTATGGGCTGCTTTCAGAAGAGGTTGAGCAAGCATGCCCTGTTTCTCCTCCAAATTGTCAGTCAAATAACTTCTCCACTTCAGAAGGAGTGAAGGAAAGAGGCTGATAGTATTATTACCCTAGTTATTATCCGTCTCTGTAGAAAAGGGCTTGTGCCACATTTCCCTGCTCATACAGTTTTTAAAAGGTCTGCCTTACTGATTTTGGCAAGTTATCCTTTGTTTTTTCTCTTTAAACTTGTTTTTATAGGTATTTTGTCTCCATGTATATCTGCACATCAGGTGTGTGTATTGCACATGAAAGCATCGGAGGGCATTGGACCCCCTGTAACTGGAGTTGGCTCTGAGCCATCATCTGGGTGCTGGGAATCAAATTCTCAGTCCTCTAGGAGAGTAGCCGGTGCTCCTAACTGCCAAACTGTCTTTCCAAGCTCCGACCCCCAACCCCTAAACCTTTTTTTGAAGGAAATGGATTATGTACACTCCGCAGGACAGTGAGCTGGGAATTAGCTAGTGCTGTCTGTGTCCATACCACTCTATCACTCTGATCATCACCTGATACCAGTTGATAAAATTTATCTTCCTATTAAATTTGTTTATGTGAGTACAGGCAAGAATTGAAGAGAAGGGACTGTAAGTGGACAATCTACTGATATAAGTTAAAATTTTAGACTTTTTTTTGGTTAACTGTGGTGATACATGCTTTTAATCTCAGTACTTGAAAAATTGGGACAAAAGGATCACTGGGAACTCAAGGCCAGCCTAAGCTACATAGTTAAAGGCTATCGTGGGATAGAGAGCTGAAGATCTTTCTCAAAAAAAGGCTTTTCTGATCATACTTAAAAGCTTTCCCTACAGTGTTATAAAGGATGATTTTAGTTATTTAAAATTTTTATTCTGTCTCGAAAAACCAAAAAGAAATTTTTTTTTATTAAATCTCAATTTACCTTAATATGGCTTCATTTTTTCCCATGACATTATATACAAAAGCTGCCTTATTTCTTCTGATAACTGCATTGCCTAGCCATTCTGACAGCTTCAATAACCTTTTTAAAAGACTTCATATAAGCTGTCCATTCTGGCATAGCTTCAAACCACAGTTGGTAAGTCAGAACTTTCAAGTATCCAGAATTTTTTTTTTCTGATTTTACTCTGTTATTAAAGATAAAAGTAGCAAAATTTCAAAATATTATCAAAATTAGTCAGAAAACTAGTTTTAGCTTGAGGGTGAGCTAGCTTAGCATATAAAACTGTGAAGAAAAGATAGTATCCAAACCAAGTAGAACCAAGGTCTGCCACAGCTAAGGGTCTCAGAGATGCATGAAGACAATTTTTGCTACATATGTATGTGCGCAGGTGTACCCTGGGAGGCCAGAGGAGGGTATCGGATCTTCTGCAGCTGGAGTTTCAGGCACTTGTGAGCTACCTAGTGTGTAGGGCTGCAGGGTTTATTTCTTTTTGAGACAGGCTCTCTCTACATAGCCCTGGCTGTCCTAGAACTCTCTATGTATAACAGGCTGGCCTCAAAGTCACAGAGATCTGTCTGCTTCTGCCTTTCAAGTGCTGGGATCAAACGTTGGTGCTGCTGTGCCTGGCTAGTGACTTTTTTCCCTTCTTTTTTTCCTCTTTTTTCTTTTCTTTCCCTCCCTCCCTTCTTCTTTCTTCTCTTTTTCTCTCTCTCTCTTCCTTCTTTTTCCTTCCTTCCTTCCTTCCTTCCTTCCTTCCTTCCTTCCTTCCTTCCTTCCTTCCGTCCCTCCCTCC